GGTGAGGGCACTGTAGAAGTTCCCCACTGTGAATGCATCACTGAAGCCATGATGGGGACACTGCCAAAAATATCCCATGTACCGCTCCCATGCATCACGAAGTGACTCATCTGGCTCTTGGCGGAAGTGAGTGATCTCCCGCTAAATCTCTGTGGTCTTCGATGCCGGATAGTACCTGTGCACGAACTTGTCTGCCAGATCATCCCAAGAAGTGATGGACAATGGGGGCTGGGTCTCCAACCACCTCTTAGCATTCCCCGCCAGAGAATGGGGGAAGAGGTGAAGGCGCCCGGGCTTCCTCATCCTTCAAGCCATGGAACTGGATGGAGGATGTAATGAGTTGAATCCAGCATGGCTTGATCTCGAAGTTGTTTGCTGGAATGGGCGGATAGAGGATGACCGGGCGGATGTCGGCAATCCGTGGAGTGTAGTAGTACTCCAAGGTGGGACCCGGTGGTGGTGGATGATGATGAACCCCATCTCCCTGGGGATTGGGGTCGTTCCCCAAGAGCTGATTCGCCGGAGGTGGGTTGTGATCACCTTCCATCTCGTACTCGTCCTCGGACTCGCTGCTCAAATGACCGTCTATGCGCTCCACCGTAGCCAGTCTAGCTCGTTGTTGTCTCCGAAGTTGGTGGCAGGTGCGTTCAATCTCTGGATCCAACGGCAGTAAACCTCCCGACTGGCTACGGGTCATGCACTATCTGCACACAATCAAGCAATGCAAACCCGTGAAGGCACAAGTGGGAAAGAACAAACACTCAATGCGAAAAATGAAAATGGTAAAGTAACAGAAATCACTTTTCTTCAACAACCTAGCCGTCCCCCGGCACCGGCGCCAAAAACTTGACTCACTCCTACTGTCACTCTAGAAAATGGCCAAGTGTAACCACTTCCTAAAGCGTAGTATAGCGGGTTTGGGTTTTAATGTCAACCCGGGTCCTAGATTTGATGACTACTCGGTGAATTCTTGTTATCTAGCAGTAAAACTTTAGTGCAAGTCTAAACTAACAAACAAGCAAAGTAACTAAACGGTTGTTTTCAAGTCAAGAGAGGACACCCGGATATGGTTCCCCCTAGACTGCAGTTAAGCCGGATTGCAACTTACCAAGTTCAGTTTTCATGAAAATTATACTGCGGAAGGTTCTTAAACAGTCTGAAGTCTCGACTAAAGGTCTCCAGACCCTCTCAATCTGAGTCTCTAGCGGGCGACTAACCTCCACCGGAGTAAACAGATTGAGGCCCTAACGAACCAAACCTCCACTACCGAATTGACTTCGGTACAGAATAGCGAATTGGCTCCTTGAATAAAGTCGCCAATTCACTACCTTCAATTAAGGATACTCTATCAACCTAGGCAGATATTTTCATTCTAGGTCAAAACAGAAACAAAGGAATTTGATCAGGATTCAAGTCATTCAATCATTCAAACCTCAATCGAATATAATCAATTCATAAACTCTGTACTTGGGTTCATACAATCAGACCTAACATACAAATCTAGGGTTCTCCATACCAAGATTAATGGGGTAACTACTCCATGGAGAGAGAAGCAAAAGCAGATTCAGACGCGGAAATCATACTGTGAAGATGGATTTCTGCTCCTGGACGTTAATCGGCACTTCTCCAAGCTCAAGCCGGGCTCCAATGGTGATGAAGATCAAGCTATGGCACTTGGGAACTCTAGTTCGTCGCTTTCTCTCTCTAGGAATCGTTCTGTCTCTCTAAAACTCGGAACCCTTGAATGTTGGCCTTCTTCTCCTTTAAATTGGCTGCCTGTCGCGATACCCGGTCGAAATACCCGGTCGGGTATTTTGGGTATCGACCGGGTATTATTTAAAACGCGCGTTTTGGTCGAGGGAGAATCCCCGGTCTGCTCCAATAATACCCGACCGGGGATTTTCGCCTCCTGCCCGGGTCCCCTTCTGTTTCTCACGGGAGCCCAAAATGATAAATACCCGGTCGGGTATTTGGCCCCCTGACCGGGTATTTTCCACCTGCAGCCCACTTCGTCCCAACTTTGCTCCTTTCGACCCAGAATTCGTTTCTCCGCCTCGATTCCAACGCCGAGTCCTGAAATATGACATAAACACACAACCTAGCGTGAAATCGGCTTAAAACACGAGAATCCACATCTCAAACAGCTTCAGAATAGGGGTGAAAACATGTGTAATTATCGGTCTACCTTTGCATCGTTTTACTTCCCCGTAAGGAGCGCCATAAACTGGCTTCTAAGACGTTTCAATGTGTCTTTGTGGGTTATAGTGGTCGCTACAAAGGCTACCTTTGTTACGATCCGGTGGGTAGATATCTCGGGATCGCTTACCATGTTATGTTTATGGAGCACATTCCCTACTACTCTCTCAAGGATTCGTCGGCACGGGCAACTTTTGAACAAAGCTTGGCATTTTTTACCTCTTTCTATTCATCTTTGCTTGCTCTGCAGGGAGGGGATGGTAATGATGGTGACACACCATCAAGCGGCAGCGGTCATCTTCTAGCTCTTGTTCTTCTTCATCTTCAGAATCATCATCCTCGTCGTCCAGTTCGTCATTCTAGTTGTCTGGCCACTCCTCTACGGGTTCCTCTTCGTCCGATAGCAGCTCGATTATCTTGTTCTCCTCTAGTGATGACTCTGATGATGACACTGTAACACCCTACTACTTTTCTCTGTTTAAAACCATTTAAAATATATATACATCATCAACTATTTTACCAAAATCGTTAAACTCTTGATTCATAACAAATTTTGGGGATAGCCCATCTTCAAATATCTCATGTAAAATAATGTGGAAAGCTCAACCTGCCTCCCACTTCGCCACCATCAAGCTTGAACATGCTTCGTCCCATGGTGTTCACCCATTTGGCTATTGATCTGGGAAAAGTATTGATGGGGTGAGACATCACTCAATGTGTTTTGGTAGTTGCAACTATGAGAGAATGGCATCTTATGCAGTTAGACGTTAAGAATGTGTTCTTGCATGGTGATCTCAAAGAGACCATCTAAATGGCTCGTCCTGCAGGCTACACCAAGAGTGATGCAAATACAGTCTGTCGTCTCAGGCGGTCTTTGTATGGTCTTAAGCAAGCTCCTAGAGCTTGGTTTGTGAAGTTCCATGGAACGATTGTGCAAGCTGGATTTTCGTAGAGCCATAATGATCCCTCATTGTTTGTGCGAAAAAACTATACATGGAATTACAGTCTTACTTCTGTATGTGGATGACATGATTGTTACACATAATGATCAATCGGGAATTAAAGACCTCACCGAGACGCTTCATCAAGCTTTTAAGCTCAAGGAACTTGGGGATTTTTCATATTTCCTAGGATTGGAGATAGAAAGGAGTAAGCATGGTATTCTGGCTAGTCAACGAAATTATATTCAGGATCTGTTGGTGGAGCATCAGTTTCACAACTGCAAGCCGTGTACCACTTCTATGGAAAAAAATTCGAAACTAAGTAGAACTAGTGGGGATTTGTTGGATGATCAGACTCTGTATCAGACTATTGTTGGTTCACTTAGTTATCTTAGTTCTACTAGGTTGGGCATTGCCTATGCAGTATAAGTAGTGAGTCAGTTCATGGGGATGGCACGTATGATGCACTTAGATGCGGTGCACTGGATTATGAGATATCTAGAGAATACTCAGGATGTTGGGGTCTCTTCTTCCCGACCAAAGGGGAGCCTGTGTTAGAGGCATTTGCAAATGCCGATTTTGCTGGATGTATTGACACGCGTCGGTTAACGTCAGGGTAGTGTGTGAGGTTTGGTAGCTCGTTTGTATCATGGAGATGCAAGAAACAAGATCGGATCTCAAAATCTTCTACAGAAGCATAATACAGATCCATGTCAGACGTCAATTCAGAACTTGTATGGTTGCAACGACTTCTAAGTGAGTTGGATGTAGAATGCAGTATGCTATTGAAGTTGTTTGGTGATAATACAAGTGCCATTCGTATAGCTACTAATCTAGTTCTTCACGATCAAACGAAGCACATTAAGACGCATGTTCATTACATCAGGCAACTTGTGACAGAGGGATTCATCCAGCTTAGTTACTTGTCAACAAAAGATTGAATTGCAGACTTGTTGACAAAGGCGGTTGGTACTAGTAGACATTGGTTCTTGTCTAACAAATTGATATTGCGTAAACATCATCAATTTGAGTGAGGGTGTTGAAATTATGTATTTTACTTAGTCTAAGTAGCTTATTGTAATTTGTCTTACTACGTAAGTTCCTAGTCTAAGGGGAATTAGGGTTACATCTATCTATCTTCTATCTATAAAAATATTAAAGCACTTTGAGTTTACAGCCCCTGCCACGTAATCCCAACTGAAAGCCTAAAGTATCCACGTTAGCGCCCTTCTTCACCCCTTCCTCGCCATTTTTTTTCTTTTAACCAATGGCAACTTCCTTATTCCGCCACCGTTACGAGTTCTCATATTCCTGTATTCCATCACGGCCACCTTCTTCACAATGGACTTCTCACCCAATTCACCTGGCCCTCAAAGTCCTCGACGGGATGAGGCGATGACTGTCTCCTCCACACCACCATTTCCGACATCTTCCTCTTACGATTGCTTTCGTCTTCCCAAGTAATTTTATTTCACGTTTCCAACCCTTGATTCTCTTCCCACCACTTCAATTACATCTCCCTTTTGATTTCTCCGTCCCAATTTTGTGTACTCAAACTTCCCAGTTATTCACTATGTGGTTTTTGCTTCGTTGTCGGATTTCTTTAACACGATTCCATAATTTCAGGAAACCCAAACCATTCATTTCGATGTGAAAAGAATCTGTATCCACGCCTGTGGTACCAGCCGATTCAAGAAGGAAAGTTGCTTCTTCCGCGTTCGTAAGTAAACCAACAATATATTATTTGCTGCCAAATATTTGGTTTGTGTGGGTTACCTACTAACTCCTGATCGGGGGGTGGGGTGGGGGGGGGGGAATCCGAAACATGTTAATGGTTTATGATGAAGAAGAGTGGTTGTTGGTTGGCGCCAAAAAGTTTATAGAAGGCAACTTAAATATAGAAGAAAGAAGGAGAGAAGTCTACGAAATGGCGAGGGAGCCTTCAATCGCCCAGCCACACTGTTGGTATTGGACAATCAGTTCTGAATTGGAGTAGTTATCGAGTTACGATTAGATGTTAAAAGGAAAAGTTCACTTTTTCTATGTTTTCTATTGAATCTCCTTTTGCAGGTTGGAAAGCCGGGATTACTAGGTGGCTTCTTCAATGCTCCTCATCACCATCCATCATATTGTTATTATACTTTTCCAACCCCAACGTAGGACATTATGTTCCTTTTCCGATCCTAATGCTTTTCTAATTCTGTTGGCCATCATAGTTTTTCTTTCTGCATAATAGTTGTCCGACTCAAATTATTCTAAAAGTCTCACTCCTGTTGTTGTCGTTCCTGCACTTTCCATACAAGATTATTGGTTCCTTATTTGAGTTTTTCCTTTTTAGTTTTTACTTCTTTTCTATAACTTCACGTGAGATTGGTTACAAAGCCATAAAATGTATACTAATCAATTAGAATAGAGGTTTTTCCTGATTGTTTGACAACTTTCATGCAACAAATGCTAGAGTTACTTCTGCTCATGATTGGTAATCCACCAAAGGTTGATCTTCATCATACATTTATAGTGACTTTGAAACTAGGATTTTTTTATTATTTGATCAATAAGGCCAGCTTATGCCAATACATGACTAAGACAAACCAAACAAGTAATTCCTTTTATTTGATTGCAGGAACCAATGTTCAGCTTTAGTTTACAGGTTTGGCGGTTGGTTTGAAGGCACATTCATCTCCACTCTCTAATGGACACAAAAGGAAAGAGATCGATGATGTCTGACTAACCCCACAGACAAACCCAATTATTCGTTGTGGTTTCTCACCTCATAGTAAGTTCTAGATTATGATTTATTTTGAAATGTATATGTATATGTTATAGTAATCTTTATCCACCGAGTTGTCTTTTATATATTGTGAAATGCTATGACACTGCAAGCACGTCCATTCTGAAGTAACTAGAATTCACTTATTTTGCTACAAAATTTTTGTCTCTAATTGCGTCTCATAGTTGGTTCTACGCACTAAGGCAACTGTTATGATTCATTGTTGCTCTGTATTTTCCTTTCACATATCAATATGCAGCTTAAATGCACTATTCTTCGGCTAGCTACAACTATTACGCCTTTCTTACAACAACAAGAAGCTACTGGTCACCACATCATTCCAAGTTCAAGCAACAACATAAACAAATAAAAAGCTTAAAAGTACCTTGACCCTTTCTGATTCCAAATAACCAAATCAACAATAGCGGCTTCCTTCATTTGTGAACATTGTCACAATAGACCCCAAAAACACTACTACTATGTTAGCAGAAATTTAGATGTTCCATTAGACTCATGTTTGGGAACTGCATTTGTTGGCCCCAAATGACTATATTATGGACAATGATTTATTATATTTGAAGCGTTGTTAATTTAAGTTTATGTGCATCAAAACTTTTGCCCACCAGAGTAGATATGATAATTGAAAAATAATGAGAACTATATAATATAATTGCAAAACAGAGCCAGTAAGTGAGACACAAACAATATGTGTAATTCTAGACAATAAACCAATTATTGTTTATCTGTATCGAAAGTTGTATAAAAAATCACCAGTAGAGTATTTTATACTGAAATTATAATTTAATTGTGGGGTGAATTACACGATTGGTCACCCAAATTACATAAATATTTCACGTTTGCCACCCGAATTACAAACCTTGCTTATTGGTCACTCACTTTACAAAACATTTCACCGTAACCACTGGACGTCACCCTCCGTCAGACTCCGTTAACGGCGTCAGATTTTTGATGACGTGGCAAACGGAAACTCTAACTGGACCGACAGAAAGGCTGAATCAGCCTGAATACCCGAGCCAGCAAAGCACCTGACCCGAAAAGGACGGAGCCCATTATTTTTTACTTTGCTTTAATTAATTTTTTTTTACTTTGAAGAAGTTGATTCCCCTTCTTCTTTCCTCTGGTCGTGCGTTTCTTCTTCCCCCTTTCTTTTCACTCCAGCAGAGCGTGCAAGGAGGTCGGCCGGCCGAAATGGAAACCAGAAGAAGAACCCACCACCTCAACATTCTGTTTGGAACATCATGGCTGCGGATGACGATGGAGGAGAATCAAACTCTCCCTCCTTTAGGGTTTCCAGCGAAGCCCAGAAGATCAATCGGAGCTCTTCAAATCGTCATCGGCGACGCCACTGCTGCTGGTTCTGCTCAAATCGACATACCCTTCGAGCAGGACCTGGTTCTTCTTCTTCGTCCTGCTCCTCGACAAACGCCGATCGATGTTGCTCCTTCCGTCGCCGCCTGATCTCTGGAGCTTCTCCCATATCTGCTGAGTCTCAGGGTAGAAAGAGTCGGAACAATCGTCATCCGCAAAGCTCCGATTGATCTTCTGGGCTTCGCTGGAAACCCTAAAGGAGGGAGAGTTTGATTCTCCTCCATTGTCAATCTGGCGAGGGATTCGTAAAAGAAAGGGGGAAGAAGAAACGCACGACCAGAGGAAAGAAGAAGGGGAATCAGCTTCTTCAAAGTAAAAAAAATTAATTAAAGCAAAGTAAAAAATAATGGGCTCCGTCCTTTTTCGGGTCGGGTGCTTTGCTGGCTCGGGTATTCAGGCTGATTCAGCCTTTCTGTCGGCCCAGTCAGAGTTTCCGTTTGCCACGTCATAAAAAATCTGACGCCGTTAACGGAGGCTGACGTCCAGTGGTTACGGTGAAATGTTTCGTAAAGTGAGTGACCAATAAGCAAGGTTTGTAATTCGGGTGGCAAACGTGAAATATTTATGTAATTTGGGTGACCAATCGTGTAATTCACCCTTTAATTGTGATTCAATGTACAATTTTCAATCCTTGCAATAAACTACACACCAAATCACACATACTATGAAAAAGCTAGTTATGTTGGTAACCTTATGTATATATACCAGCGTAGGGCGCAGTGTACTATGAAAAATTAAACTAAATAAGATTAACTATGAAGAGTGCTACCTCTTTTGTGAACTATTCCTGCGTGATTATTAGGAAAACTTCATAAAATCCGGTGTTGTTGTTTTCTGAATTCTTATCAGCTTGTTGACAAATATCTCCACCAACAACAACCATTTCATGCCTGAAAGATAACGAACATTGTGTGAATATATAGAAGATCCTGAATTATCATGATTGGCCAACCAGAAATATAATTTGTTGACATAATTGTGATCAGATAAACTTCAATAAATAGAAATTATATATTGATTGTTTTGATTAATCAGCCCAAATAAGCAACTTGGAGACGTGCTTGCATATCATTTTGTGGTGTCGATCATATATTAATTATCATCTTCTCTGTGTTTTCTCTTTCGGTTTTATCTCTAAACGATGGATCAGAACCGTACAGTCAGTACTTAATTGACGAGTGGCGTTCAATTAGTAATTAATTTACAGGATGGATGCAGCAACATTAATGATTCGGTTCGTTATTGATTACAGTTTCAGGTAGGTATTCATGATCAACAGCACTCTCAAAGCTTAATCAGTTTTCGTGTCAGCATTTCCTTAATTGGACTTCATTTTACTTTACCGGAAATCTGTTGTGTTGTTTGTTCCAACTCTCGATAATTTCTGGAGCCCGACTTCTTCTACGTCGCATGGTGTCAAGTGAAGCTGCGTGCGTGAGTGTGGAAGTAATATTGTTGGCAAAAAATGTGAAAACCAGGTGAGCTCGATCGTGTCTTGTTATTGTCCAAGAAAATTTAAAATTGCGGCGGTTAACATCCTACAGAAATGCATGTGGGAGTTTCGTGAGCAACGTCCCTAACAATATGATATGTTTCAGATAAATGGATGTTAATTACTTCACTTGACTCGTCCCGAATTCCACAATAAATTCTTGGCCTCCAAGTATAAATCTTAGTTGGGTGCAGTACATGATAAGTATGTTTAAATATCGACCCGGGCCGGTCCATCTACCCCTACTTCAGTCATTCGAATCATTATCTAGCAACAAGATTTTGGTTGAAAAGTTTTCTAATTAAAATAAAACAAGACAAAAGTGAATGGTTTTGAAAGCTCTTCTGTGAGAAGAATCACTCAGGTGTCGCTTCCCCCTAACTGCTACCATGGTATGTGAAGGTGATCGCGAACCAGCTAGGGGATGCAAATATGGTCGTAGACCGCACTCACGATTGCTAAACCGAGGAATAAAAATTAGGTTGTCACTCGGCCCTCTCGGTTTAGGAAATCGATGGTTGACTTACTCCCTCACTCAACCCGATGGTTGGACGGCTTAATCACGCTTAACCAAATTGCTTAACCCAATATTGAGGTTTGCCCTAAATTAACCTAGTTATGAGACTTTAAAAGCCCTAGGACTACCAACTCAATTGAGTCTCCCTTGGAAGGGGGGTTTTCCTCTCTAATCTAGGTTACGTGGCTAATTAGATTGCCAAGCACCAACATGCACAATCCTTAGATTGCTAAGCACAAACATGCACAACCCTTAGATTGCTAAGCACATATATGCACAATCCTTAGGTTGCTAAGCACAAACATGCACAATCAACAGAAATAATACCTCAATCATTGAATTAAACAACACCTATAAACAATCATTCAATTCATATAACAGAAAGCTACATGGTAGCTAGCTAGGGTTTCACAACACCCAAGTGAAAAAGAAATCTACTCCATGCTAGAAATGGGAGAAACACAAGGGGAAGAGGTAGAAACCATCATGAAGGAGGCTTCCAATCTTCTTAGCACTTTTGTTGAACTTATCTTGGGGAGAATCTTCCCAAATCCACTCTTGGAGCAAAACCCTAACCTCCTTCTCCTTTGGTTCGTCTTTCTCTCTCCAAAATCTGAAGAAGGCTTTCTTACTCAAATGGGCTCTCCCTTCTCTCTTTCTTTCAACTCATCTTTTAAATAGGGATCATGGTCAGTTCACGGACGTGAACTCTAAAACGCGTCCGTGAACTCAAGATGGGCGTCAAAAAGCACCTCTTTGCTTGCACGGGTTCACGGGCAACAACTCCTGTTCACGGTCTTAGTGACCGTGAACTCAATTAGCGTCAGTAACTTGAGTTTTGGCCCTGGAAGCCTCAAAGTTCACGGGCAACGGCTCTTCTTCACGGTCATACAAGACCATGAACATCCAAGGAAAACCGTGAACTCACGGTTTTTCACCTCTTCTCCCGGTTTTCGCTCCTTTTCGTCCAACTTTCGACTCTGGGGCTGGTTTCACCTGTTAAATCCTGAAACACGCTAAAACACGTGAAACCTAACGTAAAACCATCCTTTAGGAGCGAAATTGCCACAAACGCCTAAGGAAAACAGGGGTAAAACATGTACAATTAGGCCCGAATCAACACTTGTACGTCATGTGGTTTATCCAGATATATATATATATGAATACCTGGTTGAACATTAATGCATGAGAGTTGGATCGGGACTCTTAGCAACTTAAATCCACAAACATAGTTACATAGAACCATGACATAGATAGACAACATAATCCACCATATGGCCAATAAGAATAAAAAATCCTTCTATTAACACTAGTTGAGCGAAATAGACCAATAACAACGAGAACCAGTGCAGAGCCAGAAATTCGATTGAGGAGGTTGGAGGAGGCTAACTTGTATCGTTATAATTGAGGGAGAGGGGCGGCTAAACCTTTACCGACTATTTTAATTGCTAAATTTGTACAAAATTTACATAGAATTTTATCTATATTTCAAATTGAATGAGACTACATTCCATCCTAGCTACCTTCAACCTAGCACCATCACTCACGTTTGACGAGAACATACACTTCCA